CCCACTGCAATTGAAATTGGTTGCCCATATACACCTTGCCGAAGAACAGAATCATCCAATTCAGGTAAATATAAAATTTAAGATTTATCGTTATATTACAGAATTATTAGCTATTGATAATTTTATTTTAGTTGACTTAATTTATTGTCGATATCATCAACCATCAATTCTTTTGTCACCTTCTATTAATTTACAAAAAGCTGGTGATATAGCTGCTGAATTCTCGGTAATAGTATTTTATTGACTGAGTGATCTTTTAGAAATTAAGCGTTAGACGATGATTAGTATGTAAATATTCGACAAATTAACTATCGTAGTATGATTGTAATATAAATACTATTTATCAGACCTTTTACAAGTTTATATTCATTGTTAGCTGGATAAATTTGAAAGGATGTCTCTAAAGATTAAGAAGCAGCATATATATGAAGAAATATAACTGTAGTTAATTTAAGACTAATAATTGCTGTTGCCACGAAGTTTTTTTTCTCTTTTAATTTTTGAAAAATAATCTATGATCGGAATCATATTAGACAAAAAGAACATAACAGTTGTATGAAGAAGAATAATCAATATAATAGCTTATAGTTTTTTCAATTATTAAAACTCAAAAGTGGAATACTTCTTAGAAAATCAGTCAATTGAGTATCATACAAACAACTATGTGTATGCCATCCGTTCAACAGTCTGATGTACTCGAAAGTTTAACACAGATGTTTGGTCTCACATAAAACGAGACTTGGTTTTTCTTTCATTTATCTATTAGAATAATTGTCTTTTTTGTTATTTTAGAAATGGGATAGAGATTTTCTGTTAGAACATAAAGTTCAATGTCAAAATTATCGTAATGATAGTGAAGAGATTAAAAAAAATAAAACGTATGGCATATTAGCATCATATCATCCATGTGGAGTTGCAGTCGGCTTTACAGAAGCAATTAAAGCTGAGGGTATGTTCATTTAAAAACTTTTATAAATAAAGTTTAAATAATGTTTTTGAGTTCGAAAATGTTAGAAAATCTTAAAATGATGTAAAAAGTCTCGTTTATTATGTTTTACTAGGAATGCGATCGGTGACCCGTCATCTTTTGCTCATGATCATTGGTGGTTGTCTTATGCCAGATGCACTCATGTATGACTGCGCCTGCACATTGAAGCTTCACTGGAATAAATGGCTAGACACAGATATGCTTAAGTCGTCGACAATAACACAACAGCTTCCAATTCATATGCGCTCGATAACTTTCATCAAAAAACACATTCGAGAGCAATGTGCCAAACCATCATGAAATCTGATCACCCATCACATGAAGGACGGTTTGTTGGTTTAAACAGTCAAGCAGCCGAACAAGCATTTCAATATATATCCCGTGCCAAATTTGCGGTACGAAATTTCTCATTTCTACATTCGACAATAATGCTGTTGATTATGCTGCATCTTCTGAACTGCAAAATGACCGGCATCAATTCAGAAACAATTGGCGTGGGATTTCTACATTTTGGTGATATAATCAAGGACTTTTTCGCGACATCATGTATATACGAACGTTTCGGCACGTTAAATGGTAAAGAGTTAAATAAAGATGAAGATGATGATCAGTCAGATCTTAATCATAATGTTACATCCGAAGATATGTCATAGTTTCGTTTACATTATTTTCTCACAAATAATGTCCTATTGAACATCTGAAGATTGAAATTTTATTGTAACTATAACTTTATGTGTATATTGTTCAATTTACTTGAAATCTACCCTTTGTTTTCTTCTTCCTTTGATTCTACGTTTGTTATGCAGAAATTGAAAATAAATACTTGGTTTGGACTGGTTTATTAGATTATTGAAGAATTTCTGAAATGCATTATAATGCATTATCCATAAGAATTGCTCTACTATTAACTATTAATCATATTCTAAAAGATTTGTATTAATTGACACATTATCACATTGTCCATTGATTAAATATTTCGACGTTAAATAATGGTCTCGTATTTTTATAAAATATAATATACGAATATTCACTGCAAAGGTGCTTTTTATATCAAAAAATGATCTTAAAAAAGATGAATAAATCATAAAAACCATATTCGATTGTGAGAAAAACAAGTAATTAATTCAACTATTTGCAACGAATTTTTCTACTACAAAGGTAAATCTAATGATGAAAATTCACTTCTGAAATAATATGATGATTTCGTTTCAAAGTAAGCAAAGTAGAAATCACCATTCTGTTCCGATTTTTGAACTTGTTTCAACCGTTGTATAGCTGACACTATAGGAGCTATTTGTATTGAAAAATAAAATATCATTTAAATAATTTTGAAAATGTCAGCTAAAAAGAGTAACAAGAATTCTACTCGAAAAGATCAAGGACCAACAAGGATATCATCAAATAATAATAATAATAATAGTTCATCATCATTACTATCAACAAGTTTGTCATATGAGATATTATTAGAACATAGTAAAATGTTACAAGAAGATATTCGATGTTTACGAGATGAAAATGAATATCTTAAAAAAACATTGATGTCTAAGTAAACTATTTAAAAGTGTTTTTATTATTTATTATATTTCTATAATATTGAAATAGGCCAACAGATGATGCAACAGATTTTTCTCTTGAAATACCTCGATTGATAATCAATGAATCGAATGATATGTTTAAAAAAATCGAAAAATGTTAAAATATCGAATATCGAATTGATGAAAAATAATAAGT